AAGTCATGCTGTTTCACCCATGAATATTTCAGAATGCCCCTGAAGGACATTTTGTTTTGTTGCTTTTTTATTCTACAAAAATATTTCTTTCTTTTCTTTATGTCACTGACTTGTGGAAACTAGGCCAGGGATTTGGCTGATTGCTCTTCTGTATCATCATCTAGCTTGTTTCTCCCTTGGATTTCCTGTAAACTGATGGTTAAGATACAAGGTTCTAGATTCAGGTTCCAATCTGTTAAGAATATTTCCCAGTGGTGCTATATACCTCCTGTGGGTTCTTTTGTTGCTCTAAGTCAAGCTAAGATGAATCCCTGGGGTTCAAATGGTGTTAGCCTCATCCTTCCATGACACACTGGCCATCAGTCCTTCACCTAGTGGTCTTAGAGTCTACTGATGATCATTGCTAAGAGATATTACTTCATTAGGAGTTGCACAATGGTGATTTTTCTGTGTCATTACTTCTGCATTTGCATGTATAGATTTTTTTTTCCATTGCAAAACCACTTAAATGTCTGGAATAACCCCAACTCTTTCATTATATCTTTTTATACGTTGCTGAATTCAGTTTACTGGTATTTTTTTTTAATTTCTGTGTTTATACTTACGTTTAAACTTGCCTATAATCTATTTTTAAAAGATTTTAGCTATTTATTTGACAGAGAGAGAGAGAGAGCACAAGCAGAGGAGCTGCAGAGGAGAGGGAGAGGCAGATTCCCCATGGAGCAGGGAACCTGAAGTGGGGCTTGATCCCAGGACCTCAGGATCATGACTGAGCCAAAGGCAGACACTTAATGACTGACACTTAATTGACTGAGCCATCTAGGCACCTGGCCTATAATATTTCTTTCTAATGATATTATTTCTTTTGCCAGTTATCAATATTACATTGGCTTCATAGATTGAATTGGAAGTATTCTCTTCTTGTCAATTCCATAAAATAGTTTGTATAAAATTGGAATGATCTTTCCTAAAAAAGTTAGGACTTGCTTGGGAAACATCTGGCTCTGGTATTCTTCTCATGGTAAGTTAACTATCAGTTCTGTTTCTGTAGTGCATTAGAAATTATCAGTCTTTCCATTTCTCCTTGGTTTTAGTTTTTGTTAACTTAAAAAAAAATCTGTGTATTTTATCCAAGTTTTAAACTCATTGGCATTAATTTATCTTTTTGCATGAATAATTATAAGTTTTTTGCAATATAACTTTTTAAAATTCTTAATATTGATATTTGTGCCCTTCTTTCTGTTTTCCTTGTCATTATTACTAGAATTATGTCCCTTTTCTTAGATTTCTCAATGAACTAACTTTTGGTTTTGATTATCCTTTTTATTTACTTGATTTCTACTTATTCAGTTGTTTTTTCCCTAATTTCATTATTTTATACTTCGCTAATTTTCATCCTTTCTTCTTTTCAAAAATTAACATTTTAGGCCATACATTTGTGTGAAAATACAGCTGTTACTCTCTTCCATGTGCTTAACATGTAGTCCTTTTAAAAAGATTTTATTTATTTATTTATTTATTTATTTATTTATTTATTTATTTAGAGACAGCAAGCAGAGGAAGGATAAAGAGAAAGAATCCCAAGCAGAACCCCCATTGAGTGCAGAGCCCATGACTCTGAGATCATGACCTGAGCCAAGATCAAAAGTTGTACACTTAACTAACTGAGCCACTCAGGTGCCTCTTGATATGCAGTATTTTAATTGCCATTCAGTCTTGGCATTTTCAAGTTTTCATTTTTATTTCTTCTTTGACCCAAGATTACTTAAGAAGGGTATCTTAAATTTCCAAACATATGAGGATTTATTTCTTCATTTGATATTGACTTCTAAAATGCATTTTATCAGTGGACATGATCTGTATGACATCAATTCTCTTTATTTCATTGAAATATGCTTTACCCCCCAAACTGTGATCAATTTTTGTAAATGTCTTCATTACTTGTCAAAAATGTATTTCTATTTCTTTGATACCTTCTTTAAATTAATATTTCTACTGAATCTATGAGTAACTGAGAGAGTTGTATTTAAGTATATCACTGAAATGAAGAGTTTGTAAAATTCTCCCCATGATTTTGCTAATATTTGCTTTATATTTTTGAGGCCATGTTACTAGGTACATACATGTTAAGAACTGTTGTGCCTTCTTGTGAATTAAAACTTCTATTACCATGTATGTTACCTCTCTATGCCTTTTGTCTTAAGGTCTATTTTGTCTTATTAACATCTATTTTATGTGCAATTGACACAACTTCCTTTGGGTTTATCATTGTCTGATATACCATTTTAATCCTTTTACTTTCAAATTTTCTCTTTCTTTGTATTTTAGGTGTGTGATTTATAAGCAGCTTATGGCTGAATTTTGTTTAATTTAATGCAAGCTCAAAGTCTTTGTTTTTTAACTTTAATTTGAGCTTGGTCTATTACATTTATCATTATCATTGCTATATTGATATATTTGTATATTTTCTACTACTTGTCCTTTTTATTTCTCCTATTTTCATTTTATGACTTTCCCCCCTTTTTTAATGAAATTGAGACTTTATTTCTTATTCTTCTTCTTACTGGAATGGATATTATATATTTTGCTTCTATTCTTAATAGTTATTCCTAAGAACATACTATGAATAATTAATAAAGTCTAAAATTAATTAATTTGTAAAATTCATAATTTGAGGATATTAGAACACTTTAATTATTATCATTCCTGTATCAATCAGCCTATGATAAGTTATTCTATGATAACAAGAAATCTCAAAATCTCTGTTTTATAATTTCTAAAGTTTGTTTCTTTCTCAGATTACGTATCTGTCATGATTTGTCTGGGGACTGTCCTATGTCTTGTTTATGGACATAGGCTGATGGAGCAAGTTCAACATGGGATCCTGGATTTGTCTGATTGTGTAGTCACAGTACAATTAATTTATGCATTTTTACAAGAATGCTTGTGTACATGATAAGTTTTTCTTAGTGCTTACCCTAGGGTACTAAGTGTACTCATTGCCACGGGACAAGGCTAAATATTAGTTGGCCTTTATTGATCAAAGATCTGGAGATGAGGAATAGTCTTATTTTTCATTTTTTAATCCAGAAATCTCTAGACATCAGTCCCTTTAATTCCTTTAAACTGGCAATCCTTGTGTGAGTTCGTCTCTTTATTACCTTGTCAAATGCAGCCAATAACAACCAAGTCTTGCTGCTAGCATTTTGTTTCCCAATCTCTTTGCCTAAAGTCATCTGCTCATTTGGTATATTATCTGCTTCCCAAGTTATCAGAGAAACAAATTGACCAGATGTTTTACCACTGTGTAATGTGGGTTACTAACTCTTCAGCCTCCATGTATCACTCACCATTGTCTGGCCCTGAAGCCATTGCTATATATCTTATGTCCGGTTATACTGGTAGCAATCTGCTTCTGTAACCAGTATCTGTCTATGACACCTTAGGCTGTCGTGTGAAATTGGACAGTTGTATGTGCTACTTATGGGTTTCCAAATTAGCATGGCATAGAGGCTGTACAAATAAGAGGAGGACACTAAGATAGACTCTATAAAAAGTCCAGTTTCCATATCATTCTGAAAAGCAATTCTGCTACTAAGAATCTATTCTGTAAGAAATATTTGAACATGTGCACAAAGATGCATATACAAGTATGTTTATTTCAGTATTGCTTACAATGGTGAAAAATGGAAACCACCTAAATGGCTATCCATAGAGGAATGTTAATAAATTATTTGTACTATAGAATACTTTTGCAGCCATTAAATAGAATGAGGTATCTTTATGTTTTTTAAAGATCTTACATATTTATTTGAGAGAGAAAGAGAGAGAGAGAGAGAGTGAGAAAGCAAGAGCGGGGAGAAGGAGAAGCAGGCTCCCCACTGAGCAGGGATCCCAAAATGGGGCTCGATCCCAGGACCCTGAGATCATGACCTGAGCCGAAGGCAGATGCTTAACCAGCTGAGCCACCCAGGTGCTCCAGAATGAGGTATCTTTATAAGTTCTGTGATAGCAACATCTCTAAAACAAGTGTTTAATGGAAATATATGAGTGGAAACATATAAACCTGTAATATAATTTCATTTATATAAAAACAAGAACCATAACATTCTGTGCTTGTATATGCACATATAGAATGGCACAGAATCTGGAAGGATATACACCAAACTTAAAAAAAGTGTTTACCTCTGAAAAGAAACATGGGGAAGGAAGGTGGAAAGTAGTAAAAGGGAGTTTTAACTTTTTATCTTAGATATGATTCTATTGTTTAAATTTTTATAAAAGATTATTATATTACTTTTGTAAATTAATCCTTGGATAAATAAAATAATTTTAACCAAAAGCATGGCAGGCACTTAAAGGCAATGAGGAGAGGAAGAATGGGTAATGGGGACAGTGTTCATGATTACTGTCATCAAATATTGAGGTGTCTATCAAGGTGAAAAAGTTCTACACTTTTTTTGTACCACCTAGAAATCAGAAGGATACATAGACATGGCCAACATGCACATGAGAAAATGCTCTGCATCACTTGCCATCAGGGAAATACAAATCAAAACCACAATGAGATACCACCTCACACCAGTGAGAATGGGGAAAATTAACAAGGCGGGAAACAACAAATGTTGGAGAGGATGCGGAGAAAAGGGAACCCTCTTACACTGTTGGTGGGAATGTGAACTGGTGCAGCCACTCTGGAAAACTGTGTGGAGGTTCCTCAAAGAGTTAAAAATAGACCTGCCCTACGACCCAGCAATTGCACTGTTAGGGATTTACCCCAAAGATTCAGATGCAATGAAACGCTGGGACACCTGCACCCCGATGTTTCTAGCAGTCATGTCCACAATAGCCAAACTGTGGAAGGAGCCTCGGTGTCCATCGAAAGATGAATGGATAAAGAAGATGTGGTCTATGTATACAATGGAATATTACTCAGCCATTAGAAACGACAAATACCCACCATTTGCTTCAACGTGGATGGAACTGGAGGGTATTATGCGGAGCGAAGTAAGTCAATCGGAGAAGGACAAACAGGGTATGTTCTCATTCATTTGGGGACTATGAATAATAGTGAAAGGGAATATAAGGGAAGGGAGAAGAAATGTGTGGGAAATATCAGAAAGGGAGACAGAACATAAAGACTTCTAACTCTGGGAAATGAACTAGGGGTGGTGGAGGGGGAGGAGGGGGGGGTGGGGGTGAATGGGTGATGGGCACTGAGGGGGACACTTGACGGGATGAGCACTGGGTGTTATTCTGTATGTTGGTAAATTGAACACCAATTAAAATTAATTTATTAAAAAAAAAGAAATCAGAAGGATGGCAAAAATAAACATCAGTTCATCTCTCAGAGCTGTTCCACAGATGGGATGGACTACTTGTGGGATATAATGAAAATCCTGGCTTCTGGGATTTTGAGGAGTAAATCTAAGCCCTAATGAGTTTAGACTAAAAGACATTTAAATTAGATGGTTTTTCATCTAGAAGTTTCTTGGACATCTCTAATTTCAATTTTGATTTATGACCTCTAGAAACCATCCCATGCATCCAAAAGTGCATCATTCTTACAACTGAGTGTTGGCTCCTAAAGGGGATCTCAAGAATACATGGGTCCTGACTACTGATACACTCCTCTATTAAATATACTCATTTCACCAAATTCCCTAAGAGTTCCTTCAACAGGAAAACCCTAGCCACACCTACAAGGAAAACCCTAGCCACACCTACAAGGAAAGGTACCTCTCAGCCTCTCCACCTGAGTTTCAGCCCAGGTTCTTATTTCTCTAATTCCCAGGAAAATCATGAGAAACCACTGAGTATTGAATTTAAAATGCTTTCATGCTCTCTTTCTCAAAGCAAGCAGACATAATCTGTCTCACTTGCACTCACATATCACTGGCCAAAGTAAGTCACAGAGATATGTCCTAATGGCATGTTCTTGACCAAAAAGATAAGAGAACTGTCAGGAGTTTTAAGTCAAAGGAGACCTTTGAAAGGGTCTAACATTGCCTCCTCTTTTTCCCAATTAGTGGGCAGTGGCTAATCAATCGGAACACCCGTTTATGTGCTGTATACTGAGACTAGAGGAAGACAGTCATGAACATCCACACTTATGGTCTACTTCCCTGGCTGTCTCAGCACAGGTGAGAGAGCTCATGTACTACCAGGTGTGCTTCTTTTGAAGGTAGTGGTATATAGGCATAGGTGTAGACACAGAGGTAGATCTATTTACTCATGAGAATGTCTCACTTTGAGAGAATCATCTTTTCTCTGTGTGTTTGAGGATCTCTATATGCTTTAAAAGTGAGGTCAGCACGTGGCCAAGTTCACAATCCCTCCTTTTAATTAGCATCCTTTCAGGGTAATGTTTGGTTCAGGGACACAGCTTCTCAGCACTGGACTTTATTTTTATAGAGTCAGCCAACTCCTCCCTACATAAGCCATAATCCTTCTCAGATGTTGGGGTGAAGCCTGTCCAAGAGAGCTGATCATCTATCATAATAGATATAAACACTTGTCTCACATTATCCCATTTAGAGAGACAAGTTTATGTTTTTACAAATATCTAGTGTCTCACTTGTCACAGAGTATCAAATTCCCTCTATTATGCTGCAAAGAAAATTAACATTATGAAAGATACTACATTACATTTGGTAATAGTGCCTTACTCTAAAATCACTCCCTTGCTGAATGGTCCTCACTTTTGTTTTGGAAACAGAGCCCTAATTTCTCCAATGCGCAGTGAGAAAGAAGATTTGCAGTTTTAAAAACTTATACTTATTTGCTTTAATAAAAGATATAGATTGATCCAAATGTATGCAATACAGTAATGATGAATTCAAAGAACAAATAATTTTGAGATCCTAAAAATAAAGCTATCATAAAAGGAAACTACACATGAATGTATTTATTTGATCACTGTGCAGTCTTTGAGCTACACTGCGTCTTTTAAATGGTATGAGTTCTCACTTCAGTTTAGAAGAAATTTTACTTTATAAGAATTGTGTTTTTAATGTAAAGCAGTTGGTGATTTTTAAAATCAATATTTCATTTATGATTCATGTTTTGCTAAAGTGGATAATGTAATGCCTTAATGGATGGAAATGGATCATGGCAAGGAGGTCAGAAAGCAATTGCTGCCATTAATAATACACGTTCTACAAGGTAATCGACAGACAGCAAGCAGGCGAGTCTTCAGAATATTCCTGCAGGGGTTTGGTGTATGGGATGTATACAAAAATAGCAGTTGACTTTAAGAACATAATATGTCAGAGAAGCACACAATTTTGTGTGAATATTATCAAGTCTTTGCCTTTAGCAAATAGTTTTTCCACTCATTCAAGAACAGTAGCCAGTTAATTACAGAAGAACTGCATATGATTAGAGAAATCAAGAAAAATAAAATGCGCTAGAAGCCCTAATTGCAGGAGGCACTGGGCATGACATTCCTTTGCTAGATGATTCATCATTTATATTTTCCTAGTTTCCGGCTCACAAGTCATGCACTTGGTTATCTGCCTTTTTGACAGGGCTCTAGAGTTCAACTTTGAGAAATGTTTGCCTGATGGACAGGATGAAGTTATGAGAAGTTAGTCTGTACACAGGACAGCATTAGGTCCTCAGGACAATCCTGGAAGCTGGGTGGGAGAGCTAGTGTCATGCTCATCTCACAGAAAAGGAAACAGGCCCAGCATGATGCTGTGATTGGTATAAGACCCCAGAAGTAAGTGGTTGACTTGGGGCACACAGTTTTCTGACTCCACTCTATTCTTTGATGCAGTAACATGGGTTGGGGGTGGAGAGGAAAAGGGAAAGAGATTCTGTTGCCAATATGGTGCTTTTAATCTTAAAGGTGCACTTACTTTAATGATTTTTTTTTCAGTGGTGTGTGCTGGAGCCAGCTCATCCTGTCTGGCAAGGGCCGGTTGTGTGCAGCTCTTCCAACCTTAGCATTCAGAGATGTTGTGTTGGTATTGAAACTGGCTTCAAGGGAGGTAGTCACACCGTGAAAATTGGCAAATGCTACACATCAAGGCTTTTATCTCCAGAGAGGGACTGTCAAACATTTACCTGCGAAGAACTATTTTAAATGCATTTTTAGTTTCATTCCAGTTATCACTGACCCTTTAAGTCTGCATCTTTGCTAAAATTGAGGTTGATAGTTAAGTCACTAATCTGACTTATCAAGACCTGGAGAAAGTGAGAGGAAAAGCATTACTTTCCTGGACACCCCAGGAGCAAGCTGCCCTTCTGTCTCTCAGCAGTAAAGTGATGTGTAAAAGCCTGTAACTGAGCTATGTGTGGAGCAAATTACCTATATGTACTTGGGAAAGCACTTGTTCTTTCTGACCTACTCTACTGAAGGCCGTGATTTCCAAATACATACTTGACCTCCCCTAAGCATTAAAAATATTTAAGTATACTACATACACATGTGTGAATATATGTATGTACACACATATACATGCATATTATTACATACATACATGTTGAGATTGTGCATATAATTTTATATGTGAGTACATGCTTATATGTTTATAAATTACATGCCTTACCTTCCTAATATATGTCAATTATGTATCAAAGAAATTTTTACAGGATGAGGAAAAGATGAATTAACAAGTCCTTAAAATTATTTTTCAATTGTACAATGTATTTTGCCCTCCATAAATATTACCAATCCCCTTTACTAAATATCAATAATGTTTTGTGAGAAGATGTATCATTTCTGGAAAACATTGGTTAACATTTTCAACACAGTCATTCAAAGAAGCGTCTAAAATCATCTTCCAGACTTTGTTTTAATGCTTCTCAGAACTGAGGAGCTGTTTCATAAAGATTCAAAGGTCTAAAAAGGAATCAGTGTATCCTTGGCTAAAACGGACTAGATCCGTTCACCCATTATGCACAGTACTTTGTTAAATTTATTTTTTTTTTATAAATTAATTTTTATTGGTGTTCAATTTACCAACATACAGAATAACACCCAGTGCTCATCCCGTCAAGTGTACCCCTCAGTGCCCGTCACCCATTCACCCCCACCCCCCACCCTCCTCCCCCTCCACCACCCCTAGTTCATTTCCCAGAGTTAGGAGTCTTTATGTTCTGTCTCCCTTTCTGATATTTCTCACACATTTCTTCTCCCTTCCCTTATATTCCCTTTCGCTATTATTCATATTCCCCAAATGAATGAGAACATACACTGTTTGTCCTTCTCCGGTTACTGTGGCCAAGTTCAAAAAGGGTGTTGCCTGAGTTCTCCTCTGGGATTTTGATGGAATCTTGTCTCACATTTAGATCTTTCATCTATTTTGAGTTTATCTTTGTGTATGGTGCATGAGAGTGGTCCAGTTTCATTCTTCTGCATGTGGATGTCCAATTTTCCCAGCACCATTTATTGAAGAGACTGTCTTTCTTCTAGTGGATCGTCTTTCCTCCTTTATCGTATATTAGTTGAGCATAAAGTTCAGGGTCCACTTCTGGGTTCTCTGTTCTGTTCCATTGATCTATGTGTCTGTTTTTGTGCCAGTACCACACTGTCTTGATGAACACAGCTTTGTAGTACAACCTGAAATCTGGCATTGTGATGCCCCCAGATATGGTTTTCTTTTTTTAAAATTCCCCTGGCTGTTTGGGGTCTTTTCTGATTCCACACAAATCTTAAAATAATTTGTTCTAAGTCTCTGAAGAAAGTCCATGGTATTTTGATAGGGATTGCATTATACATGTAAATTGCCCTGGGTAACATTGACATTTTCACAATATTAATTCTGCCAATCCATGAGCATGGAATATTTTTCCATCTCTTTGTGTCTTCCTCAATTTCTTTCAGAAGTGTTCTGTAGTTTTTAGGGTATATTTTGAGAACCATTTGAATGGTAAATGGTTCTCCAGCCTTTTATTTTCAGGTTGTAGGTGTCCTTCTGTCTAAAATGAGTCTCTTGTAGACAGCAAATAGATGGGTCCTGTTTTTTTATCCAGTCTGAAACTCTGCGCCTTTTGATGGGGTCATTAAGCCCATTCACGTTCAGAGTTACTTGAACTTCTTCTTAAAGGGGAGTTTTAAGAGTCCCCCTTAAAATTTCTTGCAGAGCTGGTTTGGAGGTCACATATTCTTTCAGATCCTGCCTGTCTTGGAAGCTCTTTATCTCTCCTTCCATTTTGAATGAGAGCCTTGCTGGATAAAGTATTCTTGGTTGCATGTTCTTCTCATTTAGGACCCTGAATATATCCTGCCAGCCCTTTCTGGCCTGCCACGTCTCTGTGGAGAGGTCTGCTGTTACCCTAATATTCCTCCCCATGAAAGTCAGGGACTTCTTGTCTCTTGCTGCTTTAAGGATCTTCTCTTTATCTTTGGAATTTGCAAGCTTCACTATTAGATGTCGAGGTGTTGAACGGTTTTTATTGATTTTAGGGGGGGATCTCTCTATTTCCTGGATCTGAATGCCTGTTTCCCTTCCCAGATTGGGAAAGTTTTCAGCTAGGATTTGTTCAAATACATATTCTGGCCCTCTGTCCCTTTCGGCGCCCTCGGGAACCCCAATTAAACGTAGGTTTTTCTTCCTTAGAGTGTCATTTATTTCCCTTAATCTGTCTTCATGGTTCTTTAATTGTTTATCTCTTTTTTCCTCAGTTTCCCTCTTTGCCATTAACTTGTCTTCTATGTCACTCACTCGTTCTTCCACCTCGTTAACCCTCGTCGTTAGGACTTCTAGTTTGGATTGCATCTCATTCAATTGATTTTTAATTTCTGCCTGATTGGATCTAAATTCTGCAGTCATGAAGTCTCGTGAGGCCTTAATGCTTTTTTCTAGAGCCACCAGTAGCTGTAGAATAGTGCTTCTGAATTGGCTTTCTGACATTGAAGTGTAATCCAGATTTTGTAACTCTGTGGGAGAGAGGGCTGTTTCTGATTCTTTCTTTTGAGTTGAGATTTTCCTTCTAGTCATTTTGCTCAGTGCAGAGTGGCCAGAAACAAGTTGTATTGGAACACGGGGGAGTATCACTGGTCCGTCCAGCTGGTCTTCTGGGGGAGGGGCCTGCTGTGCTGGTTCTCAGGTGTTAGCACTTGGGGGAGCTGCTCTGCCCCTGCCTGCTGCAGGGCTCAGTGGGGGTTGTTTACCCCGTGGGGCTCCAGGAGGAACAGCCGCAGTTGCTATGGCAACTCTGGAAGCCTGGATTCAGCCTCCGCAGGAACTACGGGGCTCGGGGCTCTCGGTTCTCCGTCTGCAGGGCCTGGAGGCTCCGGGGCGGGGCCGCTGATGTGCTCAGCTCGGGGCAGGAGCGTCCTCGCTGTCTCGGGCCCTCCCGGCCTCTGCCTGTCCCGGGGGAGGCGGGATCCTGGGCTGTGTCCCGACGCCCTGTGCTCCGGGGCCTGCGCTGGTGGATTCGCGCTCCCGCCCCGCAGCCCCCTCCACGGAGCCGCCGCCCGAGTCCCTCCGAGCTGCTCCGGGTCCCGCCGTGCGCGCTGCAGCCCTTAGGGAGCTCGGCGCACTCTCCCGGGGCGCAGGTGTCTGTTAGTGTCCCCGGAAGCCCGAGGGCATCCCCGCCCTCCTGGGTCCTGCTCCAACTCCCTGCGAGCCCCTTTCCGCCCGCCCGGGAAGGTTGGTGCAGCTCCTGCTCCTCCGGGACGGGGCTCTCCTGTCCTGGGGACACTCGCCCCGGCCTCAGCCCGGCTCCTCGCGGGGCCCCTCCCCCTCAGAGGCCTTTTGTTCCTTTATTTCTTTTTCCCCGTCTTCCTACCTTGATAGAAGCGCGGACTCTTCTCCTGTAGCATTCCAGCTGGTCTCTCTTTACATCTCAGGCCGAATTCGTAGATTTTCAGGATGGTTTGAAGGTTATCTAGGTAATTTGGTGGGGACAGGTGACTTGGGGACCCTGCTCTTCCGCCATCTTGCTACTTTGTTAAATTTAGCTAATACATTTCCCTCACTCCTTATGGGAATCAGGTGCTCTGGCAAACTAGTTGCATATTCTTAGTGGGTTCAAAGCCCACTGAAGTTATTTAGGTTTTTTTTTTTTTTTAGATTTTTAAAATGTATTTATTCATGAGAGACACACAGAGAGAGAGAGGCAGAGACATGGGCAAAGGGAGAAGTAGGCTCCATGCAGGAAGTCCAATGTGGGACTCGATCCTGGGTCTCCAGAATCACACCCTGGGCTGAAGGCACCGCTAAACCACTGAGCCACCCGGGCTGCCCAGCTATTTAGTATTTAACCAGAGAATTCCACTTCCAGGGTTTTAGAGCGTGCAGACCCGAATGTTGTTATGGGTAACACTCTTAAATTTCAGAACAAAACTGCATAACAATGAAAATGATTCCAAACATCATATTTGTATCAAGGTGCTCTTTCCATTTTATGATTTTCTTCCGAAAAGTAGTTGCCTTCTTAGTTTCTGTTAAAACTTTTTTTACTTTGAAGGAGCAGATTGTGCATTTATAATACTTACTGAGTGAGGTTCTCAGAGTCATTTATTATCACAGAAAGTATTAGTGAATTTGGAATATCCATCTACTTAAAACTAAAAATTTGCAGACATCTTCAATTTTGAAAAGTTTCCAAGTATGTTACTCCAGGGCAATCAAAGAACCTCTTTGTAGTTACAGAATATATGAGATAGACACAGACACACATATATAAGCCTTTGCATATATACATAATTATATCCATAAATATTTTCTTATAAAATATCCTTTAATCACATTATATATTTGTGCAAAGTAATATATGCATAATAGTACATTAATACTTTATATGGATATATACGTTATGTGTATTTGTATATACACATGTATAAAATCATCTATGTACTCACTAAATGCAGCTCTATACAGATTGATAATCCTATCATAATCAAGATTATGTATATACTTACATCATATATAAAATTTTGAACATAGTTTTACAGATCTAAATACTAGTAGCACTTTATATATTCCTATAGATACATTAAATTCTTTATATAATGTTATATAAATGGGTACACATTTATACAACTCTGTATAAAACATAAATCCTACAGGTAACCTTATACTTACTCTGTATGTATACATATCTGTACATGCTC